CGCGATCTTGAGGTCATGTGCAGCTGCCCCGAAGCGGATTCCTTCATCGAGGCGAGGAGAAGCGAAGCGACGCTGGACCTTCTGTGGGACGAGGAAGCTGACTACCTCTTCGCCGCCGTTGATCCGCAGTGCCTGCCCTGCGCAACGCCTTTACTGAAGTGCAGTGCGCCCTGCCACCTCGTCTGGCGGAGACTGTGCCAGCTGCCCAGGACGATGCTCAGACTACGCTACCGAGGAACCCCACGTACTTATCATGTGTCTTGCGTGATGATAGCTGACGCGGAACTTGCGAACCCAGTGCTCGCGGCAGTTGCTTCGCCGACATCGAAGGCGACGTGGTTCAAGCCTTGGTGGCCTGACATGCCGTGCCAAAGGGAAACTGTGGCGTCTGGGCGAGCTCGAGGGGGGGAGGAGGGGAAGAAGAGGAAATGGGGAAGGAGGAGGGAGGGACACAAGGTGAGACAGGATCCATGCCGGAGAGGGCAAGGCACATGGAGAAGAAGGAGGAGGATGAGGAGGTAAAACAACCATGAGTCAAAACGCGCATTGCGGGGAGGGGTGTACCTCCTCTCGCCCGAACCCCCTCCCCCTCGGCATCTGCTATGTCCTGGACGGCCTGGGCGCATAGCGGCCGCGCTTAGGGACCACCTCTTGCGCAACTCCTACGGTGTCGAGGACATGCCATGCCTGGTTTCCCCTGGACGACAGTGACGGATAGCGGCCGCGCTGTGGGACCACCGTGGGACCACCCCCTGCGCACCCCCTATGGTATCGAGAATCTGCCACGCCTGCTATGCCCTGGACGACAGTGACGGATAGGATAGAACCACGCTGAGGGACCACCCCTTGCGCACCCCCTATGGTGTCGAGAATGTGCCACGCCTGCCACGTCTTGCGAATCTTGCGCGCATGTGTATGATGCGCGTGCGGCTGCGAGGAGGGAAGGAGGAGGAGGAGGATGAGGAGGAGGAGGAGAAGGAACGCGGGCGCGACGCGGCAGGGAAGAAAACCATAACCCCACGAAACATGTGGGGAATCAGAACTCCACAAAACATATGGGGAAGAGAACCGGGGAGGAAGGAAGAGCAGGGGAGGAGGGAGGTGAGTGAGGGAGGAGACGCGGGTGCGACGCGACAGGGAAGAAAACCATAACCCCATTAAGCATGTTGGGAAAAACAGATGCTTGGGTGTCCGAGTTATCCGGGGTAACTCGGGCCCGAGGTAACTCGCATTCGGATCCCCGAAAAACGAACCCGAGTTAGCCCTGACCCGAGTTACCCCTGATGATTTGGGGCTCTGAGATGCCGACCGACGCCTTCACCTGTACGATTTGCTCCGAAGCCGATGGGCCGATCTGTGGACAAAGCTTTCGCGCGCGGGCAGCGTTGGTCGCGCAGGTACGTCAATCTCGGCACCCAGGGCACGGGGGGCAAAGAAGATCCAACATCCTCATGCCGAGCAGTGCTTGCATCAGCTGCAACGCTATAGTCCGGAGCAGGGGGAGGCGTTGAGATTCTTAGCACGTTCGTAGCACGAATGGCGGTGCATCATGCACAACGCGGCGTACCCGTACACATTCAGGCAGGCCACGTCCTACGAGTGCGCGCTGTGTCACGACGCGTTCGGCAGGCACGAACCCCTCCGAAGCCATTTGTGATCGCGCCTGCTGCCGACGCAGGAGGGCACATCCGTATCAGTGGCTACTCCGCGACCGGTCCCAGCCATGCCCACCACGTGGTTGCCCTGCCCCGGAAGAAGCTGCTGCTGGTGTGCGCACACGTGGCAGCGAAGTCCGGACAGCAGCCAGCCCCTTTCGTGCCAGCTCAAGCACCTGCGGCGGATGGAGGTCGAGACAAGCGGCAGGTGGGCGCCCAACACGAGCAGGGGCACAGGCCTCCTCAGCAGCGTCAGCGACTGGTGGGAACGGCTCCAAAAACGACGAGCCGCAGAGGGCCAGGACCGCAAACAGCTCAAGAGCGCGGGCGGGGTTCGGTTCCCTGCTGGCGCAGCATCCCCCGAGGGAGTGGCACCCAAGACCCGAATCCGTCGAGAAGGTCACCGCAGGGCCGAGCAGAAGGAGCGGAAGCTGGCCACGAAGGACGCGGACTTGAAGGAATTGCTGCCCTTACTGCCCACGCACGTGGTACAGTTGACGCAGAGGTCGAGGGCGTTGTGGGGAATTGTGACGAAGACAATGCTTATCGAGGAGAAGACTGCCGTGGTCGAGGCCATGCAGCCTGAGCCGAATGATTCCTCATCGTAGCAGCGAACTGCCGAGCGCGGGTGACGTCCCTGAAGGAGGCGGCGGAGAAAGCGAAGGCGAAGGGTTCGGACCCGACGACGGCCACGCAGGACGCGGAGGGCATGCTCAAGCAGTTGCGGACCATGGGGCCTCCCACTCCTGCGGTCTTCGCCGCCACGGCGGAGAGCTTGTCCACCAGGGAGGTGGGCATGGTGAGGAGGCAGGGCTTGGAGTCGCTGCAGGCGGCGCTCGTTGACGAGCCCCTCGACTGCGTGAGGCCCTGCCACCTGGAGTCGTGCAAGGACGAGGATCTGATCCAACTCGTCCTGGCCCTGGACGACTGTGCCAAGGAGAAGCCCGTTCTTGAGAGCTTCAGGAAGATGGGAGCCTCGGTCACGCAGGGGATGGCCCCTTGAGGCTACCCAGAGGAGGGGATCTCGGCATGGATCGACGCGCTGAAGGGCTGACGCCAGATAGATCGCCTGAGCCCGACGTGTCCAGCTTCCCTGCGACGAACTTTTGATGGCAACGAAGGCCTGGTCTCGATTTCCTCGGGCGATCCTGAGTGAGCGAGTTGGCTTCGACATGCGTGCATGCACTGTGCCTGGGCCGTCGAGCTTGGGCAGCGCAGCCGTGCGCACCTGGCACACTAGAAGCACCCCTGGGCGTGGATGGCGGAGAAGGCACATAGTGTTCGAATGGTCTGGGCCCGCTCACCTTGCTCGCATCTCTCCTCGCTCTTTCGTCGCTCGTCCCTGGCCCCCACTCGCTCTCCCCTTCGGCCCTCGTTCGGCCCCCATCGGTGGCGTTTTCCGCCTCGGTTCCCCCGCTCTTCTGGCAATGACTCCCCGTGGCAGCCCAAAGCAGCTAGCAGGAGTAACTCCTTACAACGGAGAGAGGACTATGCTTCTAGATTGTGCAGCAGCCGTGAGCAGTATGGGCAGCTCCTCCTCCTCCTCTTCCTTCTCCTCCTCCTCTTTGTCCTCGTCTGCCCTGGCTCGTCCTGCTGCTGCTCCTCCTGGTGGAGAGACAGGAGGTAGAGGGCGGGGGAGAGTAGGGGAAGAAGAAGGGAAGGTCCCTCTCCTAGTGCTGCAAACGCTCCTCGCCGCAACCGCCGCCGTTGTCGTCGGAGTCGTCGTCGGCAGCGTCGTCGTTGTGGCCGTCGGCGTCGTCGATCCAGGGTCGAAGCTCGAGGTTCGAGGCGTTCTGCGTTTTGTCTACCAAATGTTTCATCCTCTGGAGGCCTCCAGGAACGTCCGCCTCGTCTTGCTGCTGCTCCTTCTACTCCTACCTCTCCTCCTCCACCTGCTCCTGCTCCTCCTCATCCTCCCCCCTCCTCTTCAAGAGGATGAGCAAGGGGAAGGATGGTTGGGGGTGTTCGAGGATCACTGGCGTTTCCATCAGAATCCCAGGAACTCTGGGGGTCCAAAGACATCTGCCTCCTGCTGCTGATGCTCCTCATCCCTCCTCCTACTGCTCCTACTTGTTGACGTTGATCGCACATGAAGAACAACGCGTGTTGCGACCTACGTACTCCTCCTGCTCCTCTTCCACCTCCTCCTCCTCCTCCTCCTCCTCATCCTCCTCCTCCTCCTCCTCATCCTCATCCTCATCATCATCATCATCATCATCATCATCATCATCAACATCTTCAGCATCATCATCATCAACAGCATCAGCATCATCATCATCATCATCATCAGCAGCAGCATCAGCATCAGCATCAGCATCCGCATCCGCATCCGCATCAGCATCAGCATCATCACCATCACCATCACCATCACCATCACCGTCACCATCACCATCATCATCATCATCATCATCATCATCATCATCATCATCATCATCATCATCATCATCATCATCATCATCATCATCATCATCATCATTTCCTTGTCTGGTTGAACCGGACAGATCCCGGAGTGCCTTCGGAACACCAGGGGTGACTGGAACACCCTTCGCCTACAGACCAGACGGGAAGACGGCTGCCGCGTAGGCCGTTGGGGTATACATCTGGCGGACGAAAAAAGGTATTAGTTACATACAGCTTGCCCGTCATCGGCAATGCCTGTCCCAGAACTGCTGTTCCGATGGCGGCTTGAGGGCCAAGGCCAAGCCGTCCAAAACTCGGCTCAACTATGATAGTATGTTATCTGAGGCCCTCGAGGTACGAAGCTAAAAAACCTCGATCCTAGAATATCGACCCTCGATGCTCGAGCCTCGAGTCCCGAGCCCCCAGCCCCAAGCCCAGAGCCTTCAGCCTCGAATCCCCCGATCGCGGGCTCTCCAGCGGCGACTGCGGCCCCTCCGGCGGGACTCGCCGGAGGGGCCCAGTCCATGGGCGCCAGAGCCCCCCCCCTCGGCGCGGCGCCGCCGTCGCCCTTCCGGTCGCCGTCGCCACCGCCGCCGCTGTCGTCGCCGATGCCATCCTCGGGGCTCGAGGAACGACCGTCGAGGAGGAGGAGGAGGCGGAGGAGGAGGAGGAAGAGGCGGAAGAGGCGAAGGAGGCGGAGGAGGAGGAGGAGGAAGAGGAGGAGGAGGAGGAGGAGAAGGAGGAGGAGGAGGAGGGGGAGTGGGCCTGGAATCGGCGAGAAGGAGGAGGAGGAGGAGGAGGAGGAGGAGGAGGAGGAGGAGGAGTGGGCCTGGAATCGGCGAGACCTCCGCCGCCGCCGCCGCCGTCGCCGCCGGCGTCTGCGCCGTCGCCGCCGGCGACGGCAGCGGCCGGCGCCAGCACGGAGGCCCCGGCCGGGGCCCGCGCGCAGCGCCAGGACGGCGAGGGGCGGCTGGCTGCTGGCGCCGCCGGCGAACGCAGGGAGCTCGTCCTCGGAGGGCGCCGCCGCCGGGCGGGGGCGCTCTCGCGACGCCCTCGATCGGGGCTCGGGGGGAGGGCCGCGCAGCGCCCGCCATTCTCAGCGGTGCACCTCGCTCCTCCTCCTCATCCTCCTCCTCCTGCTGCTGCTGCTGTTCCTCCTGCTGCTGCTCCTCCTCCTCCACCTGTTCCTCCTCCTCCACCTCCTCCTTCCCCTGCGCCGCCCTCGCCCTGCCCTCGCCCCATGCCTCGTTCCTCACTCCTTCTCGCCCCATCCCTCCCTCGCCCTCCGTCTCCCTTCCCATCCGTCCCGCTCACACCCTCGCCCCATCCCTCGCCCTCGACCTCCATCTCCTCCTTCTCCTCCTTCTCCTCCTCCTCCTCCTCCTTCCCGTCCGCGCTGCTCCTTTCGACCACATCCCCCTCCCCCCTGAGATGAAGCCCTGACGAGGACACAATCGGGTGAGGATACATCGAGAATCTCTGAGATCCAGCGGTTCAGGACATGTCTCAGGCGCCGCGGCCTTCTCAGAGCGTTCTGGAACGCTCTGAAACGGATTATCCTCGTCCGGCCACCCCCGTCCCTGCAGGTCCTGCAGCGTCAAACCTAGTGGTGAGAACGGCGGTGGAGACAAAGGCAATCGAACACGGAATCTGAGTTCCGGACGATGTGTGTTTTTGAAAAGAAGTTGCATTGTTGCTGTGATGCTTCGGCGCGGGCATGGCCAGCGAGGACGGAGGGCATGGATGCGTGGATGAATGAGTACAATCTAACATGGGACTGACTGCCTACGTCTGAGTGGGTCTGAGTTCTAGAGAGGTCGAGTGCGAGGGAATCTGGATGCGAGAAAGTCTGGGCATGGGTGGATGTGAGCGCGAGCGGGTCTCATCTTTGGTGAGTCTGCGTAGGAGTGGGCGAATGCGAGTATGAGCGAGGCCGAGTATGAGCGGGTCTGAGTATGGATGGGCATGAGGATGAGGAAGTCCCAGTGGGAGCGAGTCTGAGTATGAGTCTATGAGCGAGACTGGGCAAGGGTGGATCTGAATACACGTGGGTCTTAGTGTGAGTGAGACTGAGTAGGACTGAGTCTCGGTATGGGAGGGTATGAGCGTGCGTGATCTGCACGAAGCGAGTCTGAGTGCGAGTGCGAGTGAGTCTGGTTAGGGCTGAGACGCCGCGCTGCCATAGTTTCAGTTTGCTATTGGCAAAACTCCCCAAGAGGGTCAAACAGCTCTTTGAGAGGGCACCCGGCCCAAGGCGGCTATTTCCATGACGCAGTGAGCATATTCGTGGTCAAGACGGGAAGGGGAAGGAAAGAGGATGCTGTGCTAATACTGAAATCGTCGATGTTAAGGAGATGGCTGCACTGATGATCGCGCCTCTCCCTCTGGAGATCTTCCCCCCCTCATATTGCAGAGACTGCTACTTTTTACGATTGTCAGCTGATCGCGACGACCTTCAGATCTCGCTCAGCCCTGGGTTAGCTGGTTGATTGGCTGGTACCGGGCCAGCTCCATCGTGAAGGTTGCCCGCCCCTCGGGGAGTGTCAGAAGACATACATCCCTGCTCTACTCGCCACCATTCGGCGCTGAGCGGGAAAGATGGGGAAGCGAGAAGGGAAGGGGAGGAGGGTGATTTTTGAACATCGACGCAAAGCTACCCGCATACTTCCAAGCGGAGCGGCGAGGTTCGCCAGGGGAAAAGCGACTCCGTGTCAGTCGGAGTCGCGCTGGCTCCCACTCCCCGCCACCCTTGCCACCGTGGTTCGCCAGGGCCGCCCACCGCGCTCTGGCCCTGCGCGCCCGGCTACTGCTGCCCGCCCGGCTGCTCATCGTCGAACTCTTCGGCGTCTGAGCGTCCCTCCTTCCTCTCGGCCGTCCCCTTCCCTCTTTGCACGCCAGCCAATTCGCTAGTTAGTGCCCCTACCTAGCTGTTCGCTGGAGCGGATTTCGCCGCCTCGCCGCTGACGAAAAAAGTCAGTCGAAGTCGCCCGAGTGCTCGACGTGCGGCCCGCGGCGCTCATCGAGGCAAAGCTGGACACGCAGGCGCTCCTGAGCGACGGCCGGATCCGCACCAGCCAGGTCGGATGGTCCCCCGCTGGCGAACAGCAGAGAAGTGAAAACATTCGAATCCACCCCAGAGATCCGACGCTCTAAAAAAATTGGAGCGGCGGGATTTTGGTAGTTTTCGGCCTCCGGGGGCCCTCACCGGGCCTCGGGAACGTGAAAAAACTACTCAAGACGAAAAACCGGCCCCGGGGAAGTGGTCCAGACCTCCAGGGCCCACGCATCAAAACAAATGGAGGCGCCGGATGTCTGGGACAGCAACATCCTTCCGTGGGTGAATGCCTCGCGTAAACTTGTTGGGATTCGTTGTGGAATGTCTGGAGCGTTCCACAGCACAGAATGGACAGCGAACTTCTTCCAAGCGTCCACTGGTGCATATAGTGGCCACATCGAAGGCACATGACCAGCAGCAGCCGTCAGAGCGCTGCACACTGAGGACGCGGTGCTGGAACTGACCACCTCGCCGAAGTCGGCCCCACATGCACGTGGGCATCTGCCAGTGGGAGGCCCAGACTCCAAGCGGCAGCCTTTGAAACATACAACGCGACTCCAAACCTGGTCAAACTTTCCCCACGGATGGGGAACTGTGAGCTCCACAGAGGCCAATCGGGGCACGGGGAGGGCCGACGAATGGGCACCCTTCCAAATCTGACCTGGGCCAAAGCGGCAAGAGGTCAGCCGCGAGCTCACACACAACCTTAGGCACCGAAGCCAAGCGGGCTACCGTTCCTCTCTCCTGCCGCGACAGTTGAGGCTGGGGCCCGCTCCAGTCCGCGCAGCGGCGTCGGCAAGGGAGGCGCCTCTGCTCCAGAAGAGCGCTCGGCTGGGTCTGGCCCCTCCTCGTCCTGATAAAAGTGGGCTTTGGCTCTGTTCGACTACGCGCAAGAGTGACCATGGGTAAGAGTGACCTTTAGTGCGCGGCTTTGTGGGGGCCGCGGGGGGACCAATGACAAGCGCGCAAGACGCTACTACCGCATCGCGCTCGGCGATCGGGGAGTCCCAGTGGGCCCGCACCACCAAAGGTCACTCCGGCGAAGGGTCACTCTTACGCGCAGTCGATTTGTGCACTCCTAAGAAATGTTTGCATCCGTTGGCGTACAACAACACACCAGAGCACCTACGCTTAGACAGACCCTCGGACGGCGGCAGGGAAACATGCTTCACCACTGCCAAGCAATCAGAGAAAGTTTGGAAACTCTCGACCAACTGCAAACGGAGGAGGAGGAGGAGGAGAAGGAGGAGGAGGAGGAGGAGGAGGAGGAGGAGGAGGGGAGGGGGAGGAGGAGGAGGAGGAGGAGGAGGAGGAGGAGGAGGAGGAGGAGGAGGAGGGAGGAGGAGGAGGAGGAGGAGGAGGAGGAGGAGGAGGAGGAGGAGGAGGGAGGAGGGGGAGGAGGAGGAGGAGGAGGAGGGGAGGAGGAGGAGGAGGAGGAGGAGGAGGAGGAGGAGGAGGAGGAGGGGGAGGAGGAGGAGGAGGAGGAGGAGGAGGAGGAGGAGGAGGCGGCGGCGAAGCGGTAACGGGCCGAGTCGAAGGATCCCCGACTAAACAACAATCGAACACGAATTTCGAATTGTGTGACCTACCGTGCGCAGTATATACCACGTGTGGCGGCCCCCCGCAGCGGGAGCCCCGACTGAGGAATCGCTCCACCAAGGCTGTCAGCGAAGAACATTAAGGCCAGGGGTCCCAGGAGGGCCGACGGGCCCTCAACGAGGGCCCGAAAAGCGACTACCTGGAGGGACCTCCCGTGGCCATTTTTACCAGTTCCTTGAAACTGCGCTGTCTCGGCTGCGCACGCGTTGGAGGAGGAGGACGAGGAGGAACAAGAGGATCCAGGACAGCGGCAGCGGGCGACGGCGCCTGGAGCGTCACCTTCCCCTCAGAACGTGCCCCTGGAGCTGGTGTTGCCGTCCATGTGTGGAGCATGCCCGCTCCAGGGGCATCAACCGCATTCAACCGTGAAATCGACGCCGATGTTTGAAGAGACCCATCCACACTCGATCGTTAAATCATCCCCGATGTTTGAAACAACTTACCACCGCCATTGGTCGACGCCACGCGGGAACAGGAACCTGCCGCCCTTGCCGAGCCACTCGCTCCAAAATCGACCCCAGCGCTGCAGTGAGAATTACCATCCGTATTCAGCTGCCATTGCCGGGGAGGAAGGGGCGAGCCTGCGCGGCTCAGCGTGTCAAACTGTGGCGACGAACCCAGACGGCCAGCTCTGGGGCATTCCCCGCTTGGGGGAGCTGAGGGGGCCAGGTCTCGGACTTGCTTTCTAACGCCCTCGCAAAGCTGTGGCGACGACGGACCCAGACGGCCAGCTCTGGGGCATTCCCCACATGGGGGAGCCGAGGGGGGCCAGGCCTCGGACTTGCGCCCTGACGCCCTTCAGTGTTAGCTGCCCTCCCACTCGTCGATCGCCATCTGCAGGATCCGCTCCACGTTCGACCTCGGCGCCACTCCTGCCTTGACCTCGCCCCCGAGTTGGACCACGCAGTCGGCGAAGACCTTGGTGAGCTCCTCATCGGCCAGCGCGAACACTAGCCTGGCGTTCCCTTCCTTGTAGCACGAGCTGACTCGAACCCCCCGCGCGAGGAGACTCATGTCCGCCACGCTGGTGACCTGCTCGATCTTCGTCTTCTGGGCTTCCCACAGCGCCTTGTTGCGAGCTCCCACTCGCTCGCCCGCCTTCGTGAGCACGTCGCAGGCCACGAGGAACACTTGGATGTGCGCGGGCCCCATCTCTGCTTCTGGCATCGGCCTGGCATTGTCGAGCCTCCACGCCTCGCGCATCGCCGCCGCCCGAGTCGCATAGGCTCGACCCGCCTTGAACGACTCCTTCGCAAGATCCGACCCCTCGTCGAGAATCGCCGTCTGGAAGGCCGCCGCGAGCATCTGCCTGATCATGAACGTGTTGCCTAGCACTGCCTTGACCAAGGCTGGCATGATCTTCGCGATCACCCCCTGCGACATCGCTGGCAACTTCTCCAGCGTGTCCTCTGGAAGGCCGTACGCTTTGCCGACGGCCATCTTGGCATCGGCGGCTCCCTGCTGCTCGCGGTGGCCAGCTGTAGCCCCGCTTGCCTCGCCCTGCCGAGGGGGCCTGCTGCCCCGCTGCGCCCGACGACCCCCCCCCTGCCGTGCACCGCGACTGCGGGAGGCAGCCTGTGACCCAGAGCGGCCTCGTGGAGATTTCCCTCCACCCCCTCGCCCTGCGGAGCGGCTCCTCTCCGCTGCCGCGAGGTCCTCCTGCTTCAGTCTGTACATCTGGGAAGTAGCGCGGGTGACGGAGCCGGCCGCAGGGGCAACTGGTCCGAAGGTGCTCGTGCAGCAGATCTCGGCTGGCACAAGTCTCTGTGTTTGAGCAGACATAGGCAGCGTCGTGACCGCCTCGCAGAGCAGCACGTGCAATGGACGAGAATGGGCACACAAGTTCCTCAGGCTCGACGACCTCGTGCGCAAACGGCGCGGCGCGTGGCGGACAACGATTGTGCAAGACGGCCTTGACGGCGTGCTCCTGTGCAATGCGCCTCGCGCGGAAACCCTGCCGACAGAACACGCACTCATTCGTGACGGTCATGCCGCGCACGATGGAACGGCAAGTGTGACCACCCAACTTCGCGAAACGCTGGCGTGCAAGAAGTGCCCGTCGCGAGGCAAACGTACGCTGGCAAGGTGCCCCCGTCGAGTCGGTCAGCTCGCACGCCCAAATCGAAGTCGGAGGATCTGGAACCACAGAAGCCGCGGCCCAACCAGATGGCGTGGGCCCCGAGGGGCCGCACAGTCCAGGAGGTGGCGCAATGGTCACCGCACGGGCAGCAGCCCGTAGGGCCCCAGGGTCAAGCCGAAGAATACGTCCCCGAAGCTCGTGATCCATGAACAACGCTTTGACGCTGAACCTGAACCTCTCGCCCCCCGAGGTGCCCACGACAAGGTCCCGCAAGAGCCCCTTCCCCCCCTCCGCTGGCCGAAAACGGAGCCTACCTCTTGGGCATGCGCACTAGGAGATATCAACCACCGCCGGTGCATGCGCAGCCTGCGGACCATAAGCTCCACCCCTGTCGGGGCCACCCCCACTCGTCTGAGAACCGTTTCGTCCGAGTCAGCCTTGTACTTGATAATCGGTTTATCGCCCTCGTCTCGAAGGAGGCCCCCGTTCTCGTCAATCATCTCCTGCTGTTTTGCACGCGTCGCCCCCCAGAATTTTTCGAGCGAATCCGACCAGCACTCGGTCAAGGCGACGTTCTTGGGTAGGCGTAAGTACAAGCACAGTGAGGCCAGACAACAAGGCCCCCTGAACAACTGCCCCGAATACTGTCCTGGTAAAGCGCCAGACCTGAATTGTTTTTGCCAGAAGCGCCCCATCGAGAAGTAGCCCCGTCGACGCGCGAGTATTCTGCGACGAAGTTCCCCCTGGACTCCCCCATTCACTGATGTCCGAATCCCCAGAGCGATGTTGTCGAATTGC